AGATTTTGGACTCTAAGACTTTTGGTCTGGTGCTCGGGACTTTTTTTTCACATTGTGCAAAGTGCATCATGGGGAAGAGATCCTGAGTAGGCAACAGTACAAACACAGGAGCTAAATAGTAGATGGTTCAAGGTCAGCAACAATCAGGCAATGCAGTACACAAATAGCAAGCAGTACATGGCCATGGTCAAGTCTGAGGTAAGTGAAAGCAGTAGGTCAGGCCAGAGCAAGGTCACAGCAAACACAAGGTTCAAGGAACAGGAACTGGCAACAGATACAAGAAATGGGTATCATGGTATCAGGGAAAGCAGTGCTCAGAAACAAAGGGCCAAGAGCACAAACAATGTACTGGCAACTTCCTGTTGCTCAATGTGAGGTTTATAAAAGCCTTGCCTTAACTAATGAGGCAGATATGAGGATCTTTAAATCCTTTAGGATCTGTTAAGGTGGTGACACACTGCACGCGGAGCGGTGGCGCGCTGCCTTCACGTGCAGTGTGTCATGTAATTTTCTCTCCTGCACGTCAGCTTGCGAGAGCTCACGTAGCTGAGCGTGCCGAGATGAGAAATTTCATGTTCAGCCAATCGGCTCGCAGCTATAAACAGAGTCATGATGTGAAGTCCAGCTGGTTGTTACGCGCGAGCTGATTGGCTGAAGGTGCTGTCATTCATCTGCTGGCACTCAGCTCACACACTGCACGCGAAGCTCCGTGCCTGACAGCTTTGCTTCGCTCTGCACGGCTTCATGTGCAGTGTGTCACGGGCTTTATCCATACTTGTCAAAGGATTATCCATACTTGTCATAGGTTCCTTGTAAGAAAGAACGAGGTGCTCACAGACATAGTGCCTCCTGCCTTCCTTCCTATTTCTTTTTTATATATATATATATATTGTAAAGCACTGGCTAGCAGGATTGGGGGTGTTGTATGTGTCACCTAGGTTTCTCACCTTCACAATGTGAAGGGCTCCAGGATTTGTATCTGTTATAGAGAAAACAAACTTTTTGTTTTCTCATATTTTATGAAATTCTGTCCTGGAGTCCATTCCTAGGTCTGCATCTTATCTGTTATCCAGAACTCATTATTTAGTCTCATCTGTGCACAGGCCTTATATATGCAAGTTGACTGATGCTCATGGCTCTCTCTCTCTCACTCTCTGCTGTGAGAACCTACTGTTGGGTGAAAAGGCTGATTGCTGACATAACACTACAATGGTGTGTGCTTGTTTGTTGTGGGGTTTAGTTAGTGGCTCTGGTAAACAGATGTTTTGTTTGTTTTATACTATGAACTTGCTGCACAAAGCCCTTGTGCATTGAACTGTATTTGTGTACTGCCTTGTTGAATAAAAGAGCGGGATAAACCTTCTTGACTGTTCCTGAGTGTTCCTGGCTCGTGCATGGTTTATGGCTGCCACTAATAGCTGAGCCTGGCCCCCTTACCATATAGACATAAATATATAAATACAGAATATATATATATCGTGTCCCACCTCAGGGTTAGAGCCTCAGCCGCCTCATGACCAGACACCCAGCAGCTTCACACCTCCCTGTGTGACGACGATCCTCCAGACTTTTCCAAACCCACCTCGTGTGCCACAGACCCTCCTGGCCTCGCCCACACAACGCGTGTGCCACAGGCCCTGTTTCTCGAGCCAGATTCCAGCTCAGTATCTCGTGCGCCACATACACACAGTCTCCCACGCTCTGCATGTACTCCTGCACCACTGACTGCCTCTTCCTCTCTGTCCACTCTCTTAACAGGGGCTGTTATCAGCCACCTAAACAGTCTGGCATGGCAATGGGTTGCATCTGGCCCCAGGACTGGCGATTTCATCTCACCCAAGACTCTTAGAAATCTACAGAGACCCAGATCCCAGTTATACTCCAGAAAACCCGGAAAGAACTGGATACCCAGCTCCTTCACTGTAACACTAAATGTTTTCTGGAGCCTCTCAGCCCCTCTGGCCGAGAGTCCTGGGCGCCAAACACACCAATCACCATAGTGACGCGGCACTGTCCTGTCACATATATCTATATGTGTGTGTGTGTTATTATGACCACCCCATCAGTACTTCGTTGGGCCGCCTCGTGACTCCACGAGATGTTGAAAGGTGATGCGAGGAATCTGACACCGCACTGTTGCCCTTCTGTTGTCTTGTACCAGTCTTGCCACTCTCCGTTCTGCCCTAACATTGACTAGTCGCTGACGGCCACAATTCGCACGTTCAGACCCAGATTTTCGGCTGACAGTCCAGTCTTTAAACACTTTAACAATGAGCCCCTCTTGAACATTTAACGAATTCTGCTGTTTTGCTGACACTCGCTCCATGGCTCGCGCCAACAATCATCCCACGTTCAAAGGCTGTTAAATCGCGTTGTTTCCCCGTATCTTCAGAAAAAAATCACTTCTACTGTCGTGGTAAACAACCTGCTTCCCTATTTATAATGGTCTGGCCCTCTAGCAACTTCAGCGCCAAATTATAGCTAATTTGCCTACAAACTACAAACTGGCCACTCAGTGTATATATATATATATATTAATTATATTAGGGCTGTGGAAATTAAAGATTAATTTCTCGATTAATCGTTAAACTTTTTGATCAATTAGTAATTTCTCTAGCCACACCTGTTCGCAATCTAGAAATCACTTAAATAAGACTTGACTGACAAAGTGAAGTAGACCAAAAGATCCTCAAAAGCTACACATAATGCCGAGATCCAAAGACTAATATTTAATATTTGTTTGATGATCTGAAACATTAAAGTGTGAGACAAACGTGCAAAACAATGAAAAATTAGGAAGGGGGGCCAACACTTTTTCACACAACTGTATACACACTTATATATTAGCACAGTGCTACTCGTCCTTGAGTGAAATGGGATCTGTAGTTTTCCTAGAATCTCGCTAGAAGGCCCGTGATGGCACTATCACTTGGGTGACACAGGCTGAAGTTGTAGTGAAGGGTAAGTATATTTTTGCTTTTCAATTTTTTAATTCATTTTTCTTAGTATTTTAATTTGCAGTAGACTATTTTAAACGAAGATCTTCCCTCAGTTTTTTTTTTTCTTTTAAGGTTTAGGTTGCCAATTTTAGGTAGAGGGGCTGTGGGTGTTGGATAGATTTTTTTGTACCCATGCAGTTCTCAGTTTTTAACTAAAATGTCACTTATGACAAGTGTTTAACAGTTCTCTCATAATTCTTCATTTATACATCCATAGCATCTTGTTCTTTTGGGTTTGCTGTGCTAAATCGACTTATTTTATCAGTAAATGCAATTTTAGCTAGGGGAAAACCCATCATTGATTTGGGCATAAAGACATAATTGGCCACTTTTATTATAGCAGAGACGGTGAACAGGCTGCGGCAAAGTAACCTGAAATAGCAATTTTTACAATTGTAGCCCAACGCTCCACCAATCTATCAGTTAATATCCTATATCTTGTATATCATGATTTTGATTCTATATTCCCTGAGCTCTATATAAGTATGAAAGGGTCAGTTCAAGCCTTGCATGTGTGTGGACTTAAACCCATCTAGCTATAAAGCAGAGTTAAGGGCATGAACACTTTTAGTTGTTTTTTATCATTATGAATTTAGCATGTGTACCTCCTGACATAAGTTCTTGCAATACCGTCAAGCAACGCCTAGTATAGACTGACAATAGGGTACCATTGTACGCTAGTCTACCATGTTTGGAGAATTGACCACACTGTGCTGCACCTATACGTATCTCCTTGGTCACCTGTGTTTTAATTATTTAGGCTTTTATGCAGAATTGTTTTCAGCATTATGTCATGGTTCAATGTTAACCTACCCAATTCAAGGATGCATTGATGCCAAAAACAATTCCTAATAGTGAGACATTACTTGGAAGACCCTTCCATTTTCAAAAGTACTTGGAGGCAGCACTCTTAGGTCTGTTTCTTATATAGTTTGCCATTCCTGAGCTGTCTCGCTCAAACAATAGTGAGACATGTGTCTATCTGTACGTGCAGCACTCCACCACTGGTTTCCACCTTGATCCTCTTTCCAACTTGGCCAACAGGTGTGCACAAAAGAGGAGTCTGTTGAACAATCTCTGTGTGCAATATTTAGTGTATCTCCTATAGTCGTTTTCACTCTTTACGAAAGACCTACATGGTCAGATCCTCATCTTTCAATACTTTAATTGGGTCCATTGCTGGCCTTCTGTGTTTACCCTTTGATGTGAGATGACAGGAAATGGAAGAATTCAACACATTTCTTTCTCAAAAGGAGAGAGAGAAAACACGGAACAGGAGCACCACACTTAGAGCTTGGGGACCAAAATTATTTGTTACATTAAAACCTTTTAGGCAAGATCAGCTAATTAAATACAGCTAAAGTGTTTTCGGGGGCAAAGAGATGCCCCCTTGGACATTTATTTCTGGCTCCCAAAAGAGGATGGCTGTATACTCACAGATCTTGCTTCAACAATTCTAGTAGAATAAATACCTTTGGATTCCAACCTCTTGATGTGGGTCTCTTGTTCTTGGATTTCAACCTCTGAAGCCGTGGAAGCCTTTCTGCGCTTGAGACTTGTCTGCCCAATGTTGAAACACTGCACATCATGAACCTTTTATCACCTGTGGAGGTACAAGTACCCTGGGGTTCCAGGACCATCTACACATGTCTCTAAACATTTTTTTCTCAGTCCAGGATATACGCATTAGCTAAAATTGCTTATTATCTTGAGGGTATGCTAAGAGGTACCAGGTCATCTACAAGGTGTAATACCAAAAGCATTCCTAATCAGATTTGTTACTGATTTGTCTTGATCGCTGCTTTATTTTCGATGCTGTAATGATTAGAACTGCTGTTAACAATGAGGTCATAAGCAATAACAGAACTTTACTTTTGCCCCAGTTTGGTCTATAGTCGTTCTCCAATGCTACTGTGGAAACATTTATTCATGAAAAAGACAGTTAACAGACATATTCCCCAAATTTTATCTAAAGTAATTTTATATTTCTTTTATTTTCAGAGTGAAAGAATTGAAAAGGGCCAAGGAACTTGAAGATATAAAACAGCGCCCCTTAGCAATGTGACAGCGCTTTTTTGGACTGTTTCATTTTCTGTTTTTAGCAGAGACATGCAACAAAAACAAAAAAAAACAACAAAAAAAAATAACACTGCAGTTTTCAAATGATCACCTGCAGGATTTTAACAGTAATCTTTTTGGTCATTGCATTTGCACTTTCATGGACAACTTTTGCTTTGTTCAGCAAGACATCTTGGAATTTAATCTTCTGTTGAATCATGGGAAATAAAACATATGGCGCCAGGAGATGATTTGAACGTCAGCTTCCGGTATATCTCTGAGACCGGGAGCCGCGAGATACATATAGGGCTGAATTCAAACAACGTGTGGAACTGTTCAAATGTTATACCAAAAATAATTGAGCAAAAGGTGGAAATGCACAAGCAAATTCTGAATGCTAAACCCACAGCCATCGATCACCCACAAGGAGGCCATGGAGATTCCCGGAAGGAATGGAGGGGTCCGTACCATACTGTATAGCGTGACTGAGCTGCATCTTCGACAGCACCTCCAAAATTGTAGTACCCCCCCCCCCCCCCCCAGAAATACAATCATCAAACATGCAATGTATAGGCATATTAAATGAATACCATTATGCTTAAAACATAGTTTAAACAGCACATGTCTTCAAGAACTGCAAACGTGTCAAGTCATTGAGCGTGGCGGAAGGAGTCAGCCCGACCACATGTAAAGAGTGGTTTTTATGCTTGACTTTTTTATTTTTTTATTTTATTCAAAATTCTATGTATATAAACATATCTATGCATTGTGCACATTATCCTTGAGTGATGAGAATCTAGAGTCAGCACCTGCTAAGAAAATTAAAGCTGACGTAGGAACGGATGGTTTCCACATTTCTTCACACAAGTAACAGAGAATCGAAAAATCTGTATGATATATCCTTCTCACAAAAACAAAAAATGAGTGTGCACGGTATAATTACTACTAACCCCTATATAACGATAAATATCCAAACACATGCAGATTCAGTATAATCCTGCCAACGACGCCATTAAAGCTGTTCTGTAATATTCCGTTACAGACCACTTACAGTTGACCATCGACACTCTTGCCTCTACCAGTATTTAGCATACTCCGCCGTGAAGGGGGAGACAACTATGTTATGCACAAATAATTATATATAAAGATATATGTAAGCAGAATGAAGATTATATCTTCTAGAAGAAAAAAGAAAATATTTTTTTCATGAATTTACCTGTTCACTGATGTTTAGGTTGTAGTTGAGTCTAATCTCAGAAGATAGAAGTTAGAAATTAGAAAACAAAAAACACCTTGTGTGTATCGATTGCCTGCTTCCCAGAAGGGATGCCTATACTGCCCATAGGGATTACCCATACTGCCCATAGGGTTGCATTTACATTGCCTGAACATTTTGCCACCTAAGAATCAATTGGTGCTGCGTGCTGGCCAGTTAATAGTATATTTGGACTTCTCAAAACAAAGAACCCGAGAAAGAATTGCAATCAGAAGGCGGGAATGGAAATGGGAAATAATGTTGTGGATAGGATAATATCGTGGCTGGAATCCCTTTATATTTGAAGATTGCTGTACTGCATTGGAAATGTGTGGATGAGTTGTCTGTATATATTGTATATATTAATGAACAAAAAAAACAAAACAAACAAACTAAGATATGTGCATGAAACCAGGAACACAAAAGAAATGAAAAAAAGCAAAAGCATTAGTGGCTACGGTCTGTAAAATGAAACAAAAATTTTATTTCACTATAAGAGTAATTTATTTTAAATGTTCTTTAGAAGAACATTTCGCTAAGCATGATTAAACTGCAAACAAAGAGCTATTGTATTTAGACTTAGAAGAAAAAAAAAAAGCTAATTAACATTAATAAACGGATATGTTTACATTTCATATTTGGCTACCAAAACATAATTTTATCTTATTTTTTATGTTTTATTTTATTTATCTTTTTTTTTTTGAATTTTTGCCAATGGTGCCAAGTAACGTGAATGCTATATCGCTTAAGAGAAAATTTAGTTTCGCGAAAGCAGATACTCATTAAAAAAAAACACAAAAAAAAAACCTGTATATGCTTAAAATCATACACTCACGCCAATAAAAAAATAAATGTAGAATGAAACTCAATAAAATGCTAACAAAAAAGTTTTTAAAAAACTCAAATAGTATGAAAGTAGAGAATATGTTTCACATTTTCATATCTCTTTGCTGGAAGTCAGAAAATGTTAACTAATAATTGCACACAAAATGAAAGTGTAAAAAGTATTAAAAAAATTATTTAAAAAAAGATGCTAACTGGTCTTGTAGGGGACTCATGGTATATGATATTTCCACACAGGAACAAGCCAAAGTGTTCAGACTATGAAGTATTTAAGGGGAAGGAGAGTTACAGAAAAAAAAAAAAAGCAGGTGTGCTTTGGTATTAAACTTTTTGGCACTCATTGCCAACGTTTGTTTGAACTTTTCGACTTACAATCTGCAACCTATTTGATTGTATAGGGAGACAGTACTATTCAGGTTGTACTAGCCTTTTTTTCCCTACTTCAACAGTTTCTACTGTATATTTTTTTTATACTGAGAAGTAAAATGTAAAGATAACACAATGTGCATATGTAAGAAACTTTTATCCAGGACGTTCAAGATTAAAAAAAAAAAGGCTTGAAAATGAAGCTCAAAATTGACGAGGTCAGTACTCTTGCTGCATTTTTTTAACAAGTTAATTTTCCTTTCATGTGAGATGTACAGATAGGAACGAGCTGAAAAATAAAAAAAACACTGATGTATAGGTTATATACTTCTCATACGATCACGCACAATCCACCATTATGAATAGTCTGTACATTAAAAGATTAAAAAAATAATAATTATATATACTGCTCTTTTTTGACGGGACATTGAGTGTTCCAAGTAGAATGTATTTTATTATGTACTCACGAGGAACGGGATGAAAATAAAAATGAATACACATATCAAAAAAAAAAAGCCTTTTTGAGATAACACTACTGTTGTGTATTAGTATTAGCGTAACTTTTTGAATTTTGTTATCTGGAACTGTATATTAATATTTCCACTTTTCATGAAGAATGTAATTTTTTCTCACCTTGGCAAGAGTACTGGTCTCCCTTGTAATGCTGTATTCTCTGTATATTTGTACTAAAAAAAAAAAAATACACATTGAGGTCGGTGTTGTGATGTCGATAATGTTATCAGATTTAGTAACATTGCAGGACCTTTCCAAGTTACTGTACCATCGGAAAAATAAAAGCGGTCACATGGGCCTGTTCTAGCACTTCAGATGCATTGAGCTGTTCAGATGAAAGAGGGTGTCTGTCAAAGCAAACTTTTGCAATAAACCTTTTACCGGCGGTGAAAATCATGGATTTTGAATGTAAAAAAAAAAAATGCATAAAACAGCTAACTTGGATGGAATACATAACATTACCCAAGTGCCAGGAGTCTGTCATAATATGTAATTGTTAAACGTATTCTGTCTCTCAGCATTTTTATTTTCTAGGTTGTTATTTTTATTTTTTTTTGTTTAATTTATTTATTTTTTTAATTTATGTTCAGCTTCTGTGAACATTTAAAAAAGAAAAAAAAATAACATCTGTACTGTGTGCGAGAAATAGAATTTATAACGTGAAATCCCTACATGGTTGCACGCTTACAGCAAGCACCGCGTGTGCGCGATGACGTCTCGGCGGGGCGACACCCGGTAACCGCTCCGGGTGCCACCCAGCCTTGGGACGCCCCTGTCCCTATCTCACATACGAGGGCCAATTTAGCCAGGAGCCAATTAACCTTCCAGCATGTCTTTGGAGTGTAGCAGGAAACCGGAATACCTGGAGGAAACCAACGCAAGCACAGGGAGAACATGCAAACTCCTTGCCCTTATTTACTCATCACTTTCTTTTCTTTAAAGCTGAAGTGTAATCTGCTTATATTTTGCCTTCCCGGCTTTCTCAGTCCCACCTCATTATCTTTAAATTCCATTTTCACATTTTCATTACATCCGTGCACGGATGCCCTCCTGATCACAGCGGTACAGAGCTGATATCACCGCACAGGACAATTACCGGACTCCATGTCTGTCTATGGGGAATTGGATGTAAACGGACATGTGTTGGAGGGGACACAGACAGCTGCAAAGGTCTCTGTCCCCTCCGATCCCCGCTGCCTCTGCTGATACAGGCGCGGAGAGCAGAGGGGATCGAAGGGGACACAGACCGCAACATACAGCGGGTGGAGCAGAGCTGATGCAGCCGCGGAGGAGGCTAACAAAAGCCCAGGCACCAGGATGAAATTAGGAAAATGCTGCTCCAACTTCCCTCCAGAACTGCTCACATAACCCAAAGTCCAGCTAGGCCGTACGCTCACATGATGTCAGCCAATCTGAATTCCGGTTCTTTCCTTCAGCAGAGATCACATGACCAAATGCCTAGGATTTTTGATTTATGCGACCAGCACGGAAGGGAACCCCGAAGCTGCATTTTCTCCTGAAAAATCATTTTTTTTCTGTTTCAACATTTTTATTAAAGGTTTGTCAAAGGTGTAACAACCATTACAAAAATATAGCAGTCATCAGTTACAAAAAAATCAACCTATCACTCAAACGATCTAACTATTCATACTATCACTAGTACTCGCCCAAATGCTTCGATGCCTAGCCCGGTACTTCCGCTATCAGGAAGCTGGGCAGCGAGGCATTACACGCTGCCCGGCTTCCTGTTTGGCTGGGAAGTCGGCTCCATGCTCCCTCGTCACAAATGACGAGGGACAGTCACAAATGACGAGGGAGCATGGAGCCGGCTTTCCGGCCAATCAGGAAGCCGGGGCGCCACGTCATTACACAGCGCTGGGCGTCGTGATTGTCCAGAAAGCCGGCTCACTGCTAATCGGGAAGTCAGGTGGCGAGTCATTACATGCTGCCTGGCTTCCTTAATGGGACTTCCGGTATCGGTATTCAGTATTGGCAAGTACCAAAAAAAAAATATCTGTACTCGATACCGAAAAACCGGTATTGGTACATTCCTAATTACTATTATTGTTTATCCAGCCCATAATAAATATATGTGGGTACAGGTCCACAGACATGCAGATGTACCCTTAGTTAGCCCCAGGGCCCCCCCCCCGATCCAGTAAATGTAGTACTGATCCTATAAAGATAGTGTCCGTATAGCATAAGAGAGTGCGAAGAAACACATAAACAGACCAAACTGTCACTTCTGTCATAAAGATTTCCCTGGACTGAATTCGGAAGAGCGTGTGATTGGCTGTTTCCTCCTATTGTAGAGATTCTCTGTGTGTCTGATAAGATTTCCTCATCGAGTACAATCCAATAGTGAAACTTTTTTTTTCTTCTTCTTCTGAATATTAATTAAAATGCAATTCTCGGACAAACCCCCCCCCCAAAAAAAGAGTAACCCACATCATCGAACTATTCATGTAATAAAGAAAAACTGCATTGTCATATAATCAGATGATTTCATTTTTAGGAGTTTTACATAATCTGCTGCTTACAGTGTCTTAAAGTGATACTAAAGTCAAAAGGATTTTAAGCTATTTCCAATGCTGACGAAATCACCTACAATGAATGCTGCTCCTTTAAATGTTTTAGTTTCCTGCAGAATCAGCTGGTCGCTTGAGAACTGGCCCTGATATCCTGTTTTAGGGTGGATACTCTCCCTTGCAGGGTCCTATGGAGCCACCCTTGTGTGTGCTGGTAAGCAAGAGACACAGCAAGGCCAGTCACTTCCTTCCTCCCCTCCGCTCTCCCTTCTCCAGGCTAGTAGATGGAGGGCTAGTTCACACCACAAACGCGACGCACTGGATCGCATCCTGGCCGGCTCCCTACATTCAGGAGCGGGAGGGGGCGTGGCTGTGCATTGAAGTCAATGGCACCAGAGCCCCGGCTGCAGAGCAATCGCCCGCACCCGAATTCATGGCACATCAATGCCTGTGTTATGGTGCAGTCATAAAAAATAGTGCATGCAGCAATCCAGTGCATGCCGACACCAAATCGGGCCGAAACATACTGTTTGTGGTGTGAATTAGCCTGGACAGCTACTGGGGACTAGACATGTGCATTCGGATTCAGACGAACCTGCAAATCAACGAAATTCATCAATTGATTTGGCAGTTCGTCCGAATCCGAAATAACGAATGTATTATATGCCCAAATATACACAAACTATATTCGAACATACATAAATTAGTTTGCAGAACATGCGGTGCCCATAATGCGTTCTGCGCATTCCGCATTCTGGAGGCAGAGAGCATTACGTCATATGGCAGGTGACGTCATACACATGTGTGGGCGACGCCATCTTGGTGTATACCAAGATATACACCAAGATGGCGGTGTCCAAACGGCCTCATGTGATGTCATGTGCTCCGCCTCCAAGATGGTGGCGCGATATGGCCGCCGAACGTTCTGCAGTTTCAATATGTGGCTCGTTGCCTCCGAATCCCAAACAGCATAAAAATGTGTTTCATTTGACGAAACAAATGAAAATGTTTTTCGTTTTCATTTGTTTCGTCCGAAATGAATTTTTATTCTGTGGACATGTCTACTGGGGACTGCTCTGTCCCTTGAGATCTTGCAGTGAACAGGAAGTTCAGGGAAGCAAAGCTGAGAGAGCTGGAGCTGTTCAGAAACACGATGACTGTAAGTGCTCGGGCAAAAATCTAATGAAATACTTTGTTAGGCGATGTGGATGTGTTTAATCTGGATTCATTACTGTAAAACGTTTGCGAGTTTACGTATTACTACTTTAAGGTTGGAATGCAACATCTAAAGCTGGACATACACTACTTGAATTGGAGCAGTGCGTGGCACCCACAGGAGCCCAGGGCCAGATCAAGAGCATCATGGCCCTGGTGCTGTTGGACGGTCGGATGGGAAGCAGCAGAGGCGGCTCTCTAATTAGGTGGCTGATTGCTCCTTGCTGGGGCTCCAGGAGGCCCCAGCAAGCAGTTGCATAATATGCCTGATGAAAGAGCCACCGGCACCTTTGCCGGACTGTGTTCTGCTATACAGCATAGAGAGGCGGTCCATGCAGGCCTGGCCTATTTTCAGTAGTGGGCCTGGAGCTGGCGCTCCAGTAGCCCCCATGCTATTCAGGCCCTGCAGGAGCCCCCGCCCCCATGCAACAAAAGTAAATCTTATAATTTGCTGATCCGAAAAATCATCCAATCAACTGCAGTCACCGTTTGGGTATTCTGACAACAGGACACCCGCATCAGAATACAATAGGGTGGGGAGGGGAATTTTTGGGATTTTTTGCTCGTTCAGCTTGCAGGACCGAACAAGAAAAAGCCAGCTTAGGAATATGATTCTTTGATAGGAAACTTCATATTTATGATCCGGGGGGGGAGGGGGAGCCAGGACTACAGTGATCCCAGAGAGAGGGTAGTGCAGAAGATGAGGACGAGGATCAAGGTTATGACCACTCAGCAGGTAAAAACCTTTTTAAAGGAAACTGCCAGGATTGAAAAAAGAAAGCTGTCATTGCTGTAATCCTTTTGCTTGCTTAAAGAGACCCTGTCACCAGATAATTCAATAAAAATCTTCCCATAATATGTTATGTGCAGCTAAAGTATTTTATGAATGATGTTTACCTGTGAAAGCCTCCCTTTTATAGACATCCACAATGCCAGAGACTGCTGCTGGGCACCGCCATCTTGGACAAGATATCAGCGGACCCACATGACTCAAGTGGCTCTCTATAGCATTCCCCTTCACTCCTCCCTCAGCAGCTACATAAAAGGTTATGTAGGGAGGGGAGGGGCAGAGGAGCTGGACCAGCTCCGACAATAATTAGACACTCACAGAAGATGAGAGGGCTATGACATGTGCAGGAGGAGGGTTGTGCTAGGGAAAAGGTTCTGAAAAGCACTGTGAATTGTGTTCATGTTATGTAAATGTATACAATAAATAAGATGACTGGGATGGTAAAGCTGCAGCAACTGCAATCAGAGCAGGCTGCAGTCAAACAATCACTCCGGTGTCTCTGGTTCTGATCTTTTAAAAATAAATGTCAGAAAAATGTGCTGAAAATCGGGTCATCGGTCAGACCCGGCAGCAAGATCTGTTGTGGTACCAATTGGCATCTGTGCGGCTAATACCAGCGCAGGACACACACTGGATGTACCATTAAACCTTATGGGGAAGGGATGACATTAAGAGAAATGTTCAATTCCTGCAAAAGGTCATATATAAATAATTTACTGAGACCATAATCATTTCATTCCAGGCTCTCTGCTGCGACCTCAGCGGGGGATTCTGTTTTTTTTAGCCACACGGCATTGAAACAGAACAAGACCCTCTCTCTCTAAATATATATGGGAGAGAGATCTAAAACAAAAAAAAATTCATATAAAATGTGCTTTTGCTGCAACTAATGGATGCTGTTTTTGGAGCGATGTAGTTTGATCTGGATTCACTATTAAAATAGTTTTTGAGAGTTTAATACTACTTTATTAAAGCATACATCCAAAACCATTGGGTGTAAATGGGCCTTTAAACAGTTGGAAGGGATGCCACTGCTTTTTCGTGCAGTGGCACGAGAGACCAGGGGACCCAGCGGCATACCTTATGCTGCCAGTGAATGTCCCCTCCTCTCTTAGCCGGCATCCATCACCAAGATGGCCTCTGGCAGGTAAGCACCTGCATGATGGCATCGCACATGTGTGATGACGTCCAAGCGGGGTGTCACCCGGCGGCTGCTCCGGGTGACAAGACAGCTGGGGACGCCCCGATCTGATATTTCTCTCAGCAAGATCCAATATTAAAGATCAGAGGACAGAAAACAAGAAAAGGGAAGGGCAGAACAGGAAATAGTAAGATAATGGCAAATAAATAAATCACACCAGTGAGTTGGGGGTAGCTGGCAGTTTTTCATTGATTTGTGCTCACTGGGCAGATTCCGCCTCATTTTTCTTTATTGGATTTCCAAGGAATAAGAAATTGCAACTATCACATTGTATAAAAAAAGGTTGTTTTTGAAGTTTCCCTTTAAATGTAGGAACTCTCAAAGATGGCTGGCACTAAAGCTGTGCTTATAAAGGCCTGGGGAGTCCCCCTTTATGTATAGCCAGGGTGACTGAACTACAGGGGTTGTGCAGTGTAACATAGACCAGACATGGCCCCTTGGATCACATTAAAAAGAAAAACAAATTTTCCAGGGACAAGTCCTCATAAGGTGTCCCTGGGAATCACAGTCAGCTGTAACTATGACAACTGAAAATGCCCACACTGTGTTGACAAAAAAAAAAAGCAAGTTTGCTAACTTGGCACACCCGAAAGAAAAAAGGGAAGAACGTATCCACCACTCTGTCCTCACTTCTCCGTATAACAGTGCGTCGGAGCTTCTATAGACTCCAGTTCTATCTGGTCTCCAGAAACATGGCGGCTGCAGCACAGACGTCTGGGCTCCGCTGGAGACAAAAAGCACATCTCTAGAGGATATAAAGCGGGAAGTGCCCCGCCCTGCGAGCGCTGCCATTCCTTTCCTGCTGACGTCATTAAAGACTCGCCCAATCAGCAGTGCCTCAAGCAATACAGTGACAGCAGTTCCTCGGCGACGGTGATCAGTACGGTGCAGCTCGGTATCCGCTCCGCTCGGCGTCATGTGAGTGTCCGGGGAGGGGGAAGGAGGGTGTGTCATCCTATGACTGATACGGTCACCCATAATCCTCCGCAGCTCGGCTTTACGCCTCACTCTCACTAAAAACTTCTTCATGCATCCCAACGACACTTCACACACCCCAACGACACTTCACACAGTTATCTCATACTACTCCCCCGACCAAACACCGCACCAACACCTCACACTGCCCTTTACTCACCCCTCCAACACTACCCACACTACTCCCCTCCCCACCCACACTACTCCCCTCACCCCCCACACTACTCACCCCACCC